TTTTTAAAAAAGGATGCTAAATAAGTATCAGTTTTAGGCAGGCATGTATATATGAAAAACTAAACCTGCAGAAGAAGAGTGTTCCAATTATAAATAAATGTACACCATATACTCTCAAGCAAATATCTTAACTGCACCCAGTCCAACAATTATGTTTCTTGCAAAAGCACAACTGGGATTTGCATAATTTTCATTCTTGGAAGAGCTTGTTTAAAAAAAATGTAGAGCCCAATTTTTAATCTTAGTTTAAAATACTTTGTACTCCTTGCTCATGTTCTATGGCATTACTTGTCTTCCAGCTTTTCTGACCCTGTGCCTACTTTCTCCCCCAGTATCTCTGTTTCAACCAACAGCAGTAATTTCTGTCCTGCCTATAACCTCAGTGTGCTTGCTAATCTTTTAACCATCTTTATATTGAATATATAGGCAGTCCTCGCTTAACGACTGTTCATTTAGCAATCGTTCAAAGTTACAGTGGTGCAAAAAAGTGACTTATGACTGGTGCTTGAAGTTACGATTATAGAAGTGCCCCTGTGCTCATGTGATTGCAATCCGGATGCTTGGCAACCAGTTCGCACTTAAGACGATTGCAGCATCCTGGGGTCACATGATTGCCATTTGCAACCTTTCCAGCTGGCTTCTGGCAAGCAAAATCAATGGGGAGCACGTGATTCGCTTAACAACTGCCACAAAAAAGGTGGTAAAATCAGGTCCAGTCATGTGATGATTTGCTTAACAACCACATCACTTAGCAACCTAAATTCCAGTCCCAATTGTGGTCATTAAGTGAGGATTACCTGTATATACAGTATGCCCTGCATATGCTGGGACACAAATTCCTAGAATTCCCAACCTGTGTGGCTAATGGCCATGCTGACTAAGAATTTATCAGGTTATAGTCCTGATATATCCTGAATGCCAGTACAGTACATGTATGACTGTATGCGTGTATGAAGTTGGTGAAATAAAGGCAACAATATATTGGTTTGCAAGATACTCTCTAAATGCCCTTACATAGTACAGCTTGATCATACTTGAAGTAAAACTATGTTTTGATTATGTTTGTGGCACAGTGGCCAAAATGTGCCAGAATTAAGTGATACTGTCTTTACTATAGTCAAGGAATATTGAATATGATGCTAGTATGACTTGGGCTACTAACCTAGTCTATTTGTTCCTTCTTTTTTACCAAAAATGTTATGTGAAAGCCTCAGTTCACCAAAGTCTTGATGGACAGTCAAGGTGAGTTTCTGTGGCCCATTTGGTGACCCCAATGGCAAACGGAAGGTAGCAACTTTGAATATAGGAGTAAATAGTAAAGAGCACAAATTAATGAATGATTTTTAAAAAAAAAAGGTATGTTGTATGTTTGTGAAACTAAGAGAAATGGGAGAGATGTAGTAAAGCTGAATGAAATTGGTCTAATGTTATGGAGCAGAGTTGATGAAATACAAGTATAGAAGTGCAGCTGTAGATTTAATTGTGGATGAAAGGGATAAATGTATGCCAGACAGAAACTGAATTGGTTTGTTTAGATTATTGTATATTTGAAATTAGACATTCATAGGCTGGTAGTATTGTAGCCTCATGTTATACTTCGGTGAATGATGTTAATGAAAAATAGAGTAAATTTTGAGAAAAAATGCACAGCATTTTGAATGAATGTGATCTTGGGGAAAAAGATATTCCATTAGGTGAGATGAATTGATGGGTGCTAATGAGATGAGAGTAGAGAAAACAAGATGGGGCCATTCAGAGACCCAAGGTGAAGGTGAATCAGAATGGTTACTGGGGAATATTTGCTTAGAAGATTTATTTTTAATATGTAGTTCAAACTAAACAATGAATATCAATCTTAAAAGCATAACTGATTAATTCTTCATAATGTAAGACACAGAATCAGTAATGGATAGGGGGTGATGAGAAATGAAACAAATTACAATGAAAGTACAACTCACAAAGTATAAGACTTGTCTGAGAAAGTATTAGAAAATAGATTAATCTCTCAGTAGAATGAATGAAAAATGGTTGTAAGAGAAGAAGATGTGGAAGTGGCTTTGAACAGAGTGAAGAGAATTATGTTACCGAATGCCATAGAAGTATCTGTAGTTATGCTAATGAGAAGCATGAGAAAGGATGCTTAGTGGAATGATGAAGTGAAGTAAACTGTGGATAATACCTATAAGAGAATGTTTGCTACAAAAGTGAGGACAAAAGAAAAAGATGAACAACAACAACAACAACAACAAAAAGCTGCAAAGATTAAAAGAGGCAGGGAGTATACAAAGCAGCTTTGATGGAAATAATTTAAAAACATGTTTTGGAACTGGATGAAAAGGACTAAACAGTGAGCCTCTAGCAGAGTGAATTAAATTAAAAATAAAAATAATAACATTATTTGAGATGAAATTGAACTGAGGGAATGCCAGAAGAGGATTTTAGAGATTTGTAAAGGAATGAAAGTGAAATAATGCTATAAATGTTAGTGTCCAAGGGAAAAAATGATTGATGATAAGGAAGTCACATATGCTTTGAGAATGTTGAAAAAACAGTAAGACTGCAGGCGTTGAGGGAGAAATGTTAAAATGCATATATGGTTTATTTTCTGATTGGCTATGCAACTTTTTAAACTGTACTCATGACTGATGATAGAATGACAACTGTTACTGCTCTCTCATACAAGGGGAAAGGTAACGAGTGAAATATATAAATTATAGAGGTATTGGTTTGTTAAACTTGCCTGAGAAAATGTTTGACAGAATTCTGAAAAAAAGTCTGAGAGATTATTTGCTCCCTTTTGTGTTTGGGACATCAGAAGATCCTCTTTCTGGCCTTTGTAAGCAATTTGTAAGGACTTTGAGGACAAAATTGCTCATATTCATTCTGTACTGGATTCTGCATTGGCCAAATATTATGAGGTGACAGAGGTCTTGTGAGATTCTTTTGAGCCCTTAATACTTGAGGAAAATCAACAGGATCATCTATGGGATGAGCTCAGCCACTTACAAATTAGATCCTTGCCCTTTATGGATGATTTGTGCCACCAGAAAGGGCATGATTTGATGTGTTCAGGAGGTGGTAGAGGGATTTTTGGTGGAGGGATTCCTACCACATGTTTTTAAATAGGCAGTACTGTGTCCACTTTTTAGATATCGATTCCTTGATCTAGCCATTTTAGATCTACAGTTTCTTGGTAAATTTATTCAGATGATGCTTAGTTTCAACTACAGAAGGTTTCAGGCCTAGCAATGAAATGGAAACTGCATTGGTCACTCCTGCAGTGAGATTTGGAAGGAGATGGTGTGCTCCTGCACTGTTTTGAAGCTGTTGCATTCTTTCCTAAGTAGGTGATTCCAAACAGTATTGTTGGATGAAGAAAACTTGAATCCTTGGGCACTTCTGTGTGGGATGCTCCAAAGCTTAGTTCTCTCTCCCCCCCCCCCCATTTTGTTTAACATTTACATGAAACTGCCAGGAGAGATCATCTGTCAGTTTGGGGTCAGGTATCATTAATACGCTGATGGTATTAGCTTTAGATCTCTAACCAAAGCCAAATAGGCAATACAGTATAAGTCTTGACCAGTATTTGAAGTCTGTGAGAGACTGGATGAGGTGAAATTGATTGTAGCTGAATTCCAGCAAGGTGGACTTGCTGGTACCAAGATGTTCCATCTGTTGCTCTAGATGGGATGGCACTTTCCTGAAGGAGCTAGTGTGCCATCTGGGAGTTCTCTTGAGCTCATGGCTCCTGCTGGAACAGCAGACAGGAATGCCCCAACTTGCACAACAGTTCTACCCAGTTTAATCTCCTCCCCACATCCTCAGGTTTACTAAGAATCATCTCTGTTTCATTATTAAACATGTTCCATTATTAAAAGTCCAAAGCCTTTCACTGATCTTGGTTGACTTCGCCTTAATGAGTTTTTTTCCCCCTCTTTCCATTTTCTTGCTTGGAGTTTTGACATAGACTTTAACCATGTTCCGGTGCATCCCATTGTTTGAAATGTGGTATGTTTCTAACTCCAAATTGAACTAGTTTTCAGATATAGTAATACATATTTGTGACTGATGTGGGAGATAATACATAAAAAGCTGTGGCTCTCTTAAAATAACCTAGCTTGTCAACAGTCTGGAATGGAATCTTTTCTTTTAACAATGTACTCATTAACATTCTGCGGCATCAGAGAACAGTCAGTAGTGGAAAAGAAGCTGTTGATAGGGATTTACCGATCAGTTTATAGTTGATATATGTTAATATTACCGTATATACTCGTGGATAAGCCCATCCATGTATAAGCCAACCCTTGCATTTTTAACCAAAATACCATGAAAAATGTGTCACCCATGGATAAGCTGATCCATGAAATTTTCATATGTTTTAATTTTCTGGCTTATCTGTGGGAGGCGCATTTTTCATGGTATTTTGGTTAGAAATTCAAGGGTTGGCTTATCCATGGATAGGCTTATCTGTGAATATATAGAGGATATATAGGTATTTTAAAAAATCTGAGGGAAAACCTAGCATATATACTCGTGGATAAGCCAAACCCAGTTTTTTTGCTGCATTTTGGCACCTAAAATTCTTGGCTTATCCACAAGTGTATATGGTACATGTAATAAATCTTTTAATCCTGAAGATTTCTGTACCATTATGCATTAGGAAAAAAGTCTTGAAAGTTTTTATGAGTTGGCTTGTACAAGAGGTCCTTCCTTAGCATATGCAACACAGACATCCCTTCCCCACCACACAAAATGCATTGGGTAACCATATATTTTGGTTTTAAAATGTGTGACTTGTTTACCAGGCAGTGATTTGATCCAATCAAATTAGGATTGGTATATTATTAACCTATAACTAGAAGAATAATTAGGCTGGAAATACTGCTGAACTCAGCAATATTCTTTTCTACAATAGCATGTTTACTGATAGTAAATAATTTGCCAGGAAGCCTTCCCAACTGGGTTTAATATTTGTGTAACACTATAAACGTTTGTTACAGGAGGAGTAACAAACACGGCGCAGTATCAGAACAGGCTAATGGTGTATGATCCAACCCAAGTAAGTTTATATACAATGTGTTAGTCAACCTCTGCTTCTCTAATAATTTCTGCACCATAGTTTGTGTGAATGTATGTGAGAGCCTGAATGCAAAAAGACATACAGCTTTTCCATCCCACGCACTGTCCCCATATTCCATGTGCTTTAAGGTGATGGGGAAGATAGGTTATTTAACTGTGCAGAATCCCTCTGTAGCCAGGTGCTGTCTACCTTTGTTTGCTGAAAGGATCATGTTCTTGAGTTTTATTTTTCTAAATTGATAGTTGTAAATATAAGGGTTTCTGCTGAGATTAGCATCCTTTATAGGCTTTGCCCTTCTCAGCTTCTTTGGATTTTATATGTGGAATTCCTGAGATTGAATCTTAGCTAAAGTTCTTTATTGATACAACTATCTGTTTGAAGAGAAGCAATAGATAAATCAGTGAATAATTAAGGATGAAACTGGTCAAATTAATGATTGCAGCTGACACACTATTTTATGTGTACATACTGTAATTCAAAGATACCCAATAATAAGCAGCCAAAACATTTTTTAGAAGATAAACTAATTCCCTGCACAGCAGCTACGATCAAGAGGTAAGTTCACTTAAACTTGTGCTTTGAAATATATATATTTTTAATTTCAGTGATAGCAGTCAGTTTCTTAATTGTTCAGTTATATTTCTGAAACTGGTGTAAAAAGATTTCCAGATTACTCTGACCCTTGTAGGGTAAAGGCAGTTGTGTAGGTCAGTCTCCTCCTCTCCTTTTAGATCTAGGTTCATATTCCCAAGTCAGTTGCAAGCTATTTGGGTTTGCCTGGCTGATCAATGTTTCTCAGCTGAGAAATGTTACCCTGGAAGAAAGGCAAGTTAGAAAAGTAGAGGAGGTAGATAGGCAGGCAGGATTTTTTTTTTTGTATATATTGACAAAAGATTTATATTGACCTATCTTTGCAATGTGCGCTTCCATGTTTCTGTTCCACATGATTGGAATGGGTGGGTAAAAACAACATGATGAGGTAAATGCCTCCCAAATATTGAAAGGAGAGGTGGAAAATAAAATAAGCAGCAGACATCTGCTCTGTAATAATAATTCTAGAACACCAAATGTGGAGCCTTCTTGATTCCTATCACTGTTTGGTAGACTGTTATTTGTGAATACCTAAAAGTGACTTGAGTTCTGGCACCCCATTGAGCTGCACGATTCCATTTTTATTCTACGAAGTTATGTAAAGAAGCTTAGTATACTATCTGTCATCAGGATTATTCTCTAAAAACTGAACAAAATGGGACGAAATGTGGTGTGGTGGGACAAACCAATAACAAAAAATACTCAGATCTGACTGGGCTGCAGGTAATTAAAAAAAAAGATACTAAAAGGTTTCTCCAGTAGAAAAGGTGGTTTGGCAGCACACTGGTGTGTTGGTGACTCCTCCATTCTCTCTTGGTCATGTGACCCAGAGCAAGGACTACACAGCCCACCCCTTGCTTCCCAATCCACTTAAGAACACACACAAATGCGACACATGGGAAGAGCAGACATACACGGATGCAGTGTGTTACTTTGGTACTTAGAAGAAAATACAGACCCTTCCTAGAGAGACCAGTGGTGAAGGTGTTGGAAAGAATTGCAGAAGCCGTGCTCTGCTCTGTCATACTAGAGTAAGCATTTCTACCTGCAGAACTGAGCCCGGTTGCCTCAGTTGGATGGGTAGAGTCAGAATGCTTACTTTGTATGCAAAGGGTTGCTCACGTGGCAAATGTTGCCCCTGCTTTGAATAAAGGCTATCTCTGTTTAAACCTTCAAATGTCAAATGGTCCCCTTTTTCATGTGTTGTCTTTTTTTTTTTTTTTTTGGCCTGCCCTTGAGGTTCTAAAGCCCTGCTCTCCCATGGGGTACCACACTTGGACTGCTCCCAAACCCAGCCCCACACGCTGCACGAACAATGAAAAGGCAGCGAGCCTGGGCTAGCATTCTTACAGTGAGGGATGCTTCATGGTTTTACACACATACGTACTTTTTAAAAATTCTGCTGGCATATTGCATGGTGGGCACTGGAAGCCCCTCACATCTGCGTGCGTCTTGCACAGAATCTCAATAACTCTATCATTGGGTGCTTGTGCCTGTTTCTGCGCAAGGCCTTTGTGGAGTGCTGATAATGTCTACCATCTGCCACTGAGCACATCGCTACCTGCCAACAGGCAGGCTGGGGTGACCTCTGCTTCTCCACTGCTGATTAGTATTCACACACTGACTTATTAGGAATGACCCCACCAGGCCCCCCTGCTTCTTTGCCTTTGCAGTGCTTGGCGGCTTACCTGGCAGTCACTGCTGTGGAGGAAGCTAAGATATAATCAGGGGATGCAGGCAGGCTTTGCAAAGCAGATGGTGTCTATAGTCCTGTGTCAAGGGAATGGACTGTAAATGCAAATATTAATTTCTCCCAATCAAATACTACACAGTATAATGGATAGCTATACATTGGGGGTGGTGGGGGGGCTACATAGAACAATTGTTTTCTGACTTCTACTCTTTGACACTCGCCATTCAGAGTTTTTCAAACAGCTCAAAATAGTTTCCACACTGGCTTTAAATATTGCTACTCATCAAAATGGTAAAATATGTTATGAAATAATAGAAAATTGGTCTTTTTGCCTAGGACGGAATTTCATTAAATTTGCATTTTTCAGTGATTATGCTACAAACAAAAAGGTATTTTTTCTTTTCTTTTAAAAAAAGATGCAGTTCTATGGAGTATGCATTTGGATAGCAGGTGTTGCAAGTGTGTTTCAGCCCTGGTGAATGAGAAATCAAATCCTAAAATGTTAATTGTGTGTAGAAATTAAAGTTTTCTTTTGTCTGCTTTTGTAGAATAAATGGCTTAGTCGTAGCCCCATGCTACAGAGGAGAGTCTACCATTCCATGGCTGCTGTTCAAAGGAAACTATATGTTTTAGGTGGCAATGATCTCGATTACAACAATGACAGAATTCTTGTCCGCCACATAGACTCCTACAGCATAGATGCCGATCAGTGGACGCGGTGTAGTTTTAGCATGTTGACAGGCAAGTGTTCTTCACAGAATGTGTCAAAGCTGCAAGAGAATTCCTATTTTTAACTGGAGAAGTATATTAAAAAGAAAACAAACCAAAAAACCCCACATCTTTGGCTGATGTCAAAAAGTTAAGCAAGGCTAGACCTGGCTACTGTTTGGACGAAAGATCAGCAGGAGATATCAGGGCTGTTGGCTAGACTGTGAAGCTGAAGACATCCAATAAGGTGGCAATGGCAAAGCGTTTCCAGATTGCTCCTATGAAATTTACAGTCTGTGTCCGTGAAGCCACCAGTTGAACTTGGCTTGGAACTTTGTTCCTCCTCCTCCTCTAAAAGTGAGCTCTGTCTTCACAATCAGTACAGTGCCTTGCACTTTATGTGCATTACAGGTGCAGTAACATGCAACATTCCAGTCACAAGAAATTTTAAAAAAATTAACTGTTGGGACAAATATATATAGCATTTGTAGAGAAATCTATAATCCTCTTATGCATGTAAGTTAAAATTAACTGACTGACTTGGAAACGTACCGGCACAGCAACAGCGTGTGGCATTGTGCAGGAAGGGCATTCTGACTTTCAATAAGTTAACAGAAATTCATGGTTTATTTATTTTTCCACATCAGGCCAGAATGAATCTGGAGTGGCTGTGCACAATGGTAGAATATATTTAGTTGGTGGCTACTCGATTTGGACAAATGAACCCTCAGCATGTATCCAGGTAACTTTTAGATGTCCTCTTGATCTCTTTCCAAATTGTTCTGAAGAGTGATGTAAGAAAGCAAAACATTTAAGTAAACTATTGGACTCCAAAGTTAGCTATCACGCATTATGTTTATGGAAATGTTTAATTAAGTGGGCTGTACAATGATGTGGCTTTGTAGAGTTTTCTATTAAGTGTGCTTAGGCAGCAGCTTCTTGGTGAATTCCTGCTAAGAGAAATGGCAGGAATATTACAGCTTGGGTTTTTGCTTCAGTGCATGTTTGAATTGTTAGAATGTGACTTTGCTTTAGGTGCTTTTTTTACATTCAATATTGGTTCTTTAGATAGTGTCCAATATTCGTTTTAATTGTATAGTATAATTACTTAGTTTGGTGTAGTGGTGAAGGCACCAGGCTAGAGACTAGGAGACTGTGAGTTCTAGTCCCACCTAGGCACCAAGCCAGCTGGGTGACCTTGGGCCAGTCACTTTCTCTCAGCCCTAGGAAGGAGGCCAGGGCAAACCATTTCCGAAAAAACTTACCAAGAAAACTGCAGGGGCTTGTCCAGGCAGTTGCCAGGAGTCAACACTGACTCAAAGGCACCACAACAAAAAACAAAACCCGAATGCATAAAATTTGACCTCGCTATTGGTATTTCTTATATGAGCTGTTGAAGTTTGCTTCTAATAAAATAGCACGGACTTAATCTCTTTGGTTTTTCCTCTCACAGGTGCTGGATGTTAGTAAGGAAGGAAAAGAAGAAGTTTTCTATGGGCCTACCCTGCCTTTTGCTTCAAACGGAATTGCAGCCTGTTTTCTTCCAGCTCCTTATGCCACATGCCCAAACCTGCAACCTTTGCAAGTACCTCATCACAAGATGGGCAGCGTGTGAGAAAAGGAACCTGGCTACAAGCTTCCTCATTCATCCTGAGTTTATCTTTACATCAACGAAATTGAATGGTTGTGGAATCCAACCTTGTATTAAGTGCAGAAGCCAAAAAGCAACAAAAGGCACCAGAATTACACCAATCTCTGGTCTTCAAGTGGCTTTGACCATGTTTGCCTATTACGAATCTTTCTCCAAGTATCCTGAAAACTTTTTTTTTTTTGCACTTTTATCTAATCCCTTGCTCCTGTTTCTGTCATTTTTGCTGCCTTGCAAAAAAATATATGAAGAAAATTCAAAGAATTCTACTTTTCAAAATGTGGGCTAACAAGAGCTTGGGCTGCTGAAGTCTTGAAGGCGGCTTTTTTTGGGGTGCTTGTCTTTGGAATTAGAAACACTGAAAATATATACTGTTGGGTCAACAACTCTTACTTGCAAAGGTGCTTGTAACCTTCTACTGGCTATTTCTCATACTTGCCTCACAATCAGAGAGGGGCTAAAAAACGGGACAGTCATGTAGATATTGTTTCATCTGTAGAAAAGGCAGACATGTGGCACTATAACCTAAAGGAAGTCTCATAAAGCAGGGAGGAGTGAGAACATGACTTGCTACTTGGACCCAGTACGTTACCTCGCATTGTTGTCTCCTAAGTGGTATTTGGAAACCATAATTTGTTAACATGTTGGAGAAAAAAGATTTTAATTTTACCATTTTCACTTGTAAACGCTAATACCTAAATAACACCCTGAAATTTTAAAATTAAATTTTTTTTAAAAAAAGTACTACCAAACTTGTCAGAGCAAGACTATTGCTTTAAAGGAGTAAAACTGTAGGGGATGTGCAAAAAATGTTGAATTTAAATTGATGTAAATTTGCTTCAAGTTCGAAATGAGCTATATCAACCACCACTGGAAGTGATTTGAGCAGAGGTGGCTTCTAGGGTGATAAAAACAACTTATTTCAAATTTGGGGGGAAAAATTGAACTCAAAACAGGGAATTTCAGTTTCAGAAGTCTTGCATTTGAAGTATTTTGCACACCACTGTAAAGCTGATTGCTGCCTGTTCCAAGTTTTCTCCAAAGAGATAGTTTGAACATCTGTGCTGGACAATTTTGAATTTATATTTTCCAGCTTTTGATGCTATCTTGTATAGTTACTAGATGTTTATGAACCAATTCTTCATGTTTTCATAACTGAAAATACTGAAGGCAATATTTTCATCACTCATTTACATATATTTTGGGTTTCTGTTGTTTGAGGTACCATTACAGCAAACAAGCGTACTAAGGCAGACAGACAAGCTACAGCCAAACAAGTGTACCAAGAAATGCAGTAAGTGCAAGACTGGCTGGGGGTTTACTTCACAAGCAATGAAACAAAATGCCCCAGTGCTTTCTGGCTACAAAAGAATCCCAACTTAATTTACAACAGCAGTCAGCAACCTTCTGAGTTGCAAAATCTTATGCAATTTTTGGTAACCTGATCCTGAAAATGTAGAATTCTCATGCAGAATCTCACAAGATTTGGCAGTTGTATGGTTTTGAGTATTTCATTTTTTAAAACAATTATTTGGATAAAATGCAAGGGTATGTGAACCCCCCGATGCCCACAGGTGCTGTCCATGTCTTGAGAAAACCAGATGTCACAATTAGCAGTTAACAGGTTTTGCATAATTGAAACACAGAAAACTAAGAAGCCTTCTTGAAACCTAAATCAAACCTAGTAAATTTGTGGAAATGCCCACATTACAATCTATATTATTTCCTCACATTTCTCTATTAAGTAGTCAGGACCATTATGTGTGGCCAGACTTTTGGCGTGTAGAATACTCATACACCCCCCCTCCCCAGTTTCTATGACAGCATAATTTGTCTTCCACCATCTTGAAGCACAGAAACATCTAATCCACTGGTATCTGCTTTTTGACTGACGGCAGCTCCCCAGGATGTCAGATGGAAAAAAGCCTTTCGCTACTTGAGTCTTTAAGATACCAGGGAATGAACCTAGATCCTTCTACATTCAAACCACTGAGACACACATCCTCCTCTTCAAGGAGCAATGATGACTATAAAAGAAAAGTAGAGGATAGAATGTGGCTGTAATATCCTAATTTTTTTTTCCTTTTAAAAAAAATACTACCAACAAGTGTTAGTATGAGCTTGAGGTCTGTGAGAGGGTTTCAGTGTCTGAAAAATAATTAATACAATTATTTATTAATTCATGACTCATGTTTTTTCTAAGTTATGTAGGCATTATGATTTCCGTATTACTGTGTTATGAATGCCTGAATCTTGAAAAAAAAAAAGGAAACTGCCATTTTACACTTCTCACTTTCTGTTTAACATATGCAGTATCTACTATAATATTTTTTTATCATTAATAACTTCATGTCCAATTTCCTTCACATTTTGAAATTCTAAGCTACAAAGAGACACCACATTGGCAATTAACTGTGTTACCCACTATAGATTCATAACCTGCATGCTTGAATACACTAACAGGTATAAAACAATCAATATATGAAGAATTTCAAACAATGTGCCTCCATTCAACATCACTGACATACGTGCATAGTCTACAATAAAAAATAACATTTTTGACTATGAACTGTATTTCTTCTGTTTACATGCATTTTCACATAACAGAGCAGTAGGGCCCATGGTGGTGCTGTTGATTTATGCAGTTAACCAAGCAAGGAACATCACAAATATTTGCACTTATATGTAGTTTTCAAGCATCTTTATTGACATTAACAACCAAAGTTTATTTTACTTATTGTTCTAGATTTCAAGGCTCCCTGACTCCAAAAAGATTCTGAACAGCTTACAAATTTAAAAGAATACAAAATGTAAAGAAAGAAAGTGTGAACACTCAGAACTACATTAATAACAACCAAAACATTGCCAGGGGGCCCCACAGACACCATAAGCCCAGGTATGGAAACAGAGTCAGGTCTTCAGAGACTTATGGAATGCTTGAAGGGTGGGAGCCATATGTGTGCTGTTCCAGAAAGTGGGTGCCACCAGAGAAAAGGCACACTTCCTCAGTCCGCAAGATGAGTTTTTAACCAGAGAAACCCAGAGTACAACCCCTTTGCCAATTGTACTGAACAGAAACTATTGGAGATAGTCACTTCCTCATCTAACCAGGACCTATGCTATGAAGGATGACCAGAACCTTGAACTGCACCCAGAACCTGACTGGTAACCAATTAGCAGCTAGTGAAGCAGTGATGACAGGTGGAGGTAATGTGAAACACCTATTGCTGCCCATATTGTTGCATTTATAGCTTCCAAATGGTCTTTAAGGGTCATGTGCAGCATGTTGCAATAGTCAAAGCATGAGGGCTTTCTGGCCACAGCTGGTTGAGGAAGATGGATCCGTGCAAAGGTCTTCCTGATCATAGCTACCACCTAATCTTTGAGCAGTAGCTAGGAGTCCAGGAGGACCACCAAATTACAGCCTTGAATGGGAAAATGCAACCCCATCCAAGACCAAAGGTGAAAATGTCCCAGATGTTGGGATAACAGTGCTTTCCAGATGTTTTAGACCACAGTTCTACAGACTACCTGAGCATTGGTCTTGCTAAGAACCTGAAATATCTGAAGGATAGCAGGTTACCAACTTCTGCTTTGTAGCACTTAAGAAATTTGGTATCAAGAATCTAGCAGTTTAATCAGTGGTGAATACATACAATATACAGAATCAAGTGGCCTCCATGCAGCTTGCAGATATTAGAATCAATTTTTCTGTACAGGGCAACTGTAATCCACCTCTAAGATAATCCTTAGTCTTTTACAATTACAGCTCTTAATGATGTCAAGGCCTGGTCAAATATATTACATTGATGGTTAAAACTTCAAAACCATATCAAGTAACAGCAAATTGAAAATGGGGGTTATAAAGTGACATCTTTGGTGGCATTACTAGTACTAGTAATATTCTAGTAGTAATATTCAGCTCTAAACAAAGTCTACATATGACACAATTTCTGTCAAAGATTGACTTGAAAATCCTTGAGAAAGTATTTCTATATTTACTTCTGGCTCTTTAACAAAGCATCTGTCCTCTGCTAAGATCTGCTTTTGCTATGGAACAGGAAAGAAAACTGTGTGCAGTGCTACTGCCCCGCAAAAGTAAAGTGTGGTGTAACTTAACTAATGTGGCTGACCTGGAAGAATCTACATTAATGATAGTTTTTTTTAATTGATTTTTTTAAAATTTTAAAATAACAAGGAAAACCAAAATGATAATGATAATGATAATAATGCAAATACATTCTCAAAAAAAGAACACACAAAGAATGCTTTATAGGGTGAGAAAAGGAAAAAAAGTATTACAACTGTTGAAATTCTATATATACATATCTAGTGTAAATATAATTCAAATACATCTTTATTTCTAATACATATATATAACTATCGGTCTTTAACCTACTCTATTTTGTATAAATGAGTCCCCTATTTCATTATACCTGTCCATCCAAAGTCTACGTCTACAGGCAATCTGCTTATAGGTGGCAAGTGCGATCGGGTCTTCAATCCATTGAGTGAAGGGGGCCATACCTTTATCTTTCCAATGCCACATTATCAGTCTTTTGGTCATAGTAAGGGCATGGAGAATTACATTGTCCAGTTGTCAATTTCTATGTAATAGGTATGTAATTCAAAAGAATATTATCTTCTGAAAATTTTAACTTTTGCTGCACAGTCATATTTATGTAATCCAGTACTTTTTCCCAGAATTTAGTAAGTATAGGACATTGTAAAAATATGTGTTTTAAAGAAGCATTATCCTTATTACATCTCCAACAAAATGTTGTCTTAGACCTTTTCTATTCAAATGTACTGGTGTCCAATAAATCTTAAATACTATTTTTTGTTGGATAAGTCTTAGTTTAAGGTCCATTACCACACTTGGTATGCAAGTTAAAACACTTTCCCATTGTCTAGGCAATATAGGAACCTGTAGTTCTTTATTACACTCATTTCTTAGCATCTGCATATCAAATTGATTTATGGATACAAAATATCTATAAAAACTAATAGGGTTTTTTTGTTTTGTTTTTTTTAGTTTTAAAGGATTTAACAAGTTATTCTAATATCTCAGGTGTCTCCGAAGTGGAAAATACTACTGGTCCAAACAAAACTGTTAACAAATGTTATAGTTCTAAATATTACCATTAGGCTACAGCTGATAGTTGATATTTATCTCTTAACACAGCATATGTTAAACACTTATCAGTGTCATCATCTATCAGTTGGTCCAATGTCAATATCCCCACCTCCATCCAATTTTTCCATATCACCATCTTTCCCCCAATTTGTAGACCTGGGTTTAAACATAAAGTCAATTTAGCATGAGAAAAGGGGTCACATCTCTTATTGGACATCACATTCCCGAACTTTCTAACTGACCCAGTTGTTTCTAGAGATAATAGAGTTCTAGTATATTTTGATCCTAATATTATCTATCCAACCAAAGGTGCTATATATGTATATTCCAAAGTTTCCCAAGCCAGAAAATTAACACCAATTGTTGGTTTCCAGTATTTAATACTTGATAATAGGTAAGCATGATGATATAGTTCCAGATCTGGAAAACTGAATCCTCCCTCATTAAATGGCAATTGCATTTTCTGTAAAAATATTCTCAGAATTGAAGAACCCCATAGAAAATTTCTAAACAAAGAATTTATTTTCTGAAAATTTTTTCCAGATATATGAACTGGGATTCCTCTCAGAATATAAATTAATCCAGGAATAGTGTTCATTTTGAGAGCATTCACCTTTCCCCAAAGGATAAGGTTTAATGACTCCCATCTATCAGTATCTGAAGAAACCTGTCTCTATATTTTATTTATATTACATGTTGCTGAGTTAGCAACATGATATGTTGGTATGTACATACTTAGTTATTTAATAGATTTGGTACAAATACAGAACTGATATTCCTTAAATGGGTAACCAAATTTTCACCTAATGGCATCAATTCTGATTTGGACCAGTTAATAGAATATCCTGCTGTTTTACTAAAGGCATCTATCATTTGCATCAATACTGAACAGTGGCATGAGGTTTAGAAATAAAAGATTATCATTGCAAATAAAACCAATTTATATTGGTTATATAATTATACTGAATTACGTAATACACCATAGATCTCCCTGCGTTGTCTAATAGCACAAACCAAGGGTTCCACGCAAATATTAAAAAGCAAAGCTGAAAGTGGACATCCTTGTCTAGTTCCTCTAAATAGTGGGAAAGTAGCAGAGAACATGCCATTAACCTTTACTTTAAATGTGGCCGACTCATATATCTTTATCCATTTTATGAATTCCAAAGGAAATCCAACATTAATGACAGTTTTTATCTAAACTAATTTCAATAAACCAACTATATACATCAATTAGCTATGAAAAAAGAATGGCGTGGGAGAAAGCTGATAGTTTCCTAGTGCAGCTTACCAAAACAAAACAAAGAAGTAATACATTTTTTCTGAAATCTGCAATCTCACATTCTGTCGAATTGTACCTATGATTCAGTGCAAAGCACACAAGGAAAGTAAGACTTTCATTATCAAACGTTGTCAAATGCCCTTGGTACAGAGATCTGATGAGCACATAGAATGCCTGAAGCTGTTTGCTTCCTAACCATTTTCATGCCTGTCACAGTTAATTTTGGCATGTCTATCTTTCTTTAGACACCCAAGTATATTCAGCTAAGAAATTATTAATAAAAATATGAGTACAGCATACACATCTGTTTTCTTGCTGAACTGTTCCATTTAGATGGGCATGTTGTATCTAGAGTAACTTGCTAGGAAAGAAAAATTTCATAAATACCATTTAGATCTTTTTTTTTTTTAATGTTTCATTCCATGATAAAGGTACATCTTTCACCCCCTGGGTCTCAGAAGCTTTTGTAATAAGGCAAAATGCCTCATCACTTATGTGAAATAAAACTCTCAAGTAATTTAAGACACATCTTCATCTTTCCAACAATAAAAAAATACAGAATTTGACAAAATGGACTTGCATATAATTGTAAATGATGGCAATTAGTATGAATTTTCAACAATGATGTCTTTTCTTGCAATATCATAGTAAATCGTTTGATGGTTAAGAAACTCAGCAATTTATGTGCGTACTGGATGTTTTCTTCTCCACCGCTAAAATGAAAGTGGATCAGATTGGTGGCCAGATTCTTTCAATTTGCAGGGGATCAGAAGTACATTGAAATACATGGCGTTAAAAAAAATCGTACAAAATATAAGGAGAGAAAAAGACAAGTTCTATCATTTGTATGCATGCTGTAATAGTAATACATAAAATACAAATGAGACACTACAATGATAATGCATAAAATACAAATGAGAAATGAAAAGTTTTAATGCACTGAATCCTTAAAACTTTCACAGCAGAAATTCTAAAACTTGCTTTTTACCTGAATCTGCATTCTGACTGTTGAAAGTGCAAATGGGGAGCTTTCTACCAAGTATTTGCCTTTGCAGAAAAATCTGAGACCTACCACATACAGTCTTGAACCTACTCCAAAGTTTAGAAAGTACACATTTCATTACTGATAAGCACATTTTAAAGGACTTATATATGCATAAATTGAATAGGACTAAGGGCAGACTTGCTTTTATTGCATAATATGTCTGAGTCCAAGATTCATTTTAGAAGCACCTAGAATAACTTGATCTTAAGTTCTTCCTCTAAAGCCAGCCTCAGCCTCCTACAGTTGTTTCAAAGATCCATGTTTTCACATTCTACCCAAGTATACAAAAAAAGAGCAAGGACAGTCTTTCTGTATAACCTAGTTCTTGGGAAAAGACTTCATTGTTGAAAAGGAAGCAAGGTAAAGAAAATGCAACCTTCACTTCCTTCACTTCTTTAGTCTTTAGAGGACTTCCATTCTAACCTGCACATTAAGTTTAAGAAGTCCTCTATGTACCAGTGCTCAGACCTTCTTGGCCATGATTTACAGCTATGGTATGCCTTACCATACACAAACAACGACAAAACATTATGATAAAAAGACTGACTATAATTTACAATTTAATAAGCCTTTGAATGGTCACATTGAATCCAGTAATTAAACCTTCATTAAATAAATAGAATTTAAATCAGAATTAAACACTCCTACCTAAACTAAACTCATCTCCTTAGAAATAAGTGAATGACTGTTGTGGCTCTAAACTTTATAAAGGAATTTGTTATAAAAGCAGTTATTTAAAACAAAATCATAAAATAAACATAAAACACTTGGGACTTTTTATGTGCTCAATTAAATTTTAACATTTTATACATTCCCCTACATTGATTATTGCCATATATATTTTACCGTGTCATGTGCACTACGCAATTGTTCAGATTTTCTCCATTACTTTTCAAGATAGTCAGCCAATGAAGATTTATAAAGCTCCTCTGCAACAGGCATATCTGTTCCCTGCATCCACAGGCAAATAATCACTTCCAGTGATCATCTGATACAACGTTAAAAAGATGTGTTAATAAACCTTTCAACTGACTGCTTAACTGCAATCCTTCATGAGTAATTTTTTATGAACTGAGAATCATAAAACCCTTTAAAAATCCCAGCTAAGTATTAATTATATTTCAAATAAAAGACTGTTTGGTTAGACTAGCTGTTACAATGCAACTTCTATTTTCTTACAAATCAAAGGCTTCACATTCAAAAACTTAATGCAAAAGGCATATTTCTGTTTCTGGTTTCTAGTGAATGGTAAAGACCCAGATTTTGAAAGCATCTCACCTGAAGAGGCTTTTTAAGAAAGCCTTTTAGAAATGAAGGTCTTTTGAGATGAATTAAACTCCTCCCAGGTATAGGAGCTTACAAGAAGCTACAATGTGGGTTCAGTAAGTCACCTTCATAAATGAAAGGAACATCTTGGCTCCACATTATTAAGTAGCCTAATAGAAACTTTTAGTTACTGTATTTCCTTATGTAATAATAGAGTTGGGAAAGAGATAATCTGCTATCTTTACATAAGAATACCATAACCATACAAAAATGCTCTGAACGAGATTATGAGGAAGTTTCCATGACAGTAATTGATGGACTCAAAAAAGAGTCTCTGGTTATTAACTCTGAAAAGTCAATAGTTTCACTAGTTTTCCCAATGAGTCAATATAGCATACTACTACAAATGAAGGGGCTACTTGCCAGTAATGGCAGTTGTATAATTTAATGGGAATGAGAATCCATATAGCAAATAGATTTTGGACATTACAGGAGGAACTGGTATGGCTCACAACTGGAAGAATGTGTGATAAACAGCTTGAAATATCTAATATCAAATACAAATTGCACTGATTTGAATTAAGGTATCTACAGCTGCATTCTTTTGTCCTGATGTAAAATCTGATATTTACATTACTACCAGACAGTGATGGAGGAAGCTTAAAAAACAGCAATAACAGTAATACAGTGACCTAGTGAGCAGTTTTTATTACTGAATCAGTTCTTGCTATTCAAGAATAGGAACACAGCTCAAACCAGTATAAGGATAACACAGAACAGGTTAGAGGTTGAATTCTGCAATATGCATTTACACATTTTAAAACAGGACAATGCTAGGACAGCTGTCACAATTCCATGCAATGCATACACAAGATCTTCTGTTAACATAAGGTGCTCAAGCATCTTCACCTCATCCTGGCCTTGCTCATATGAAGGGTTGGTGTGCAAAACATTCAAGATGTCAAACTGAAAGGTGTGACAGCAAAAGGGTACTGATTTACTGGAGCAGGAAAAAAGTTACTGTTGGAGATTACAGTTCCAGCTTTTTTTTTTAGTATCCTTTTAAAAAAAGAGAATCCCAAACAATATAACAAGATTTTGTTCTTGGTATAGCCTTCTAAGAGTTTTGATAGATTGTAATGGCTCACGATTTTCATGTGAAACAAAAAACATTCAGAGTACTTTTTCTATGTTGCTTGAAGTATTAAAATGTTAAATCAAAACCTGCTTATATATTTTAAAAATGCGCAGAAACATTATGCACCCGTAGACAGGAAATCTATCATCTGCATAAAGAACCAGCATTCTATGAAACTATGAAAATTAAAAAAAAAAAGAATCAACATACTACTAATAGAACTCCTTTTCCAGTTTCAGTATCTCCATTCGCCCAGCCTCTGTGAGCTGAGATAAGAGTCTTTTATAGGCTTCTCTGTTAAGAGGGGAAAAAAACAAAGAAACAAAAAGATATAACATTGTAATTAAAACCAGTGTCATGGAGCTTAAGAATCAGTCATGTCATTCCTTTGCCATTCCAAGCAACTTGATAGTATTTTTTCTATGATTTTGTACTGTTTAGTGCAAATCACAACAAGATTATTACTTCTTAAGGTTTTTTTAGTTATTGAAGCAACAGCTTGAGAGCATGATAACTTCAAGTATTATTTCAATCAACCTCCTCCCTTACAGTTAATGTCACTACATTAACAGATGTTCTAGTTTACACCTCTATAATTCTCAGGCATATTGACCTAGAGTTATAGGATCTGTAGTGCGACAGTAGCTTGGAAAAAGGTCTACTACAGAAGTAGACTCAGTATTGTGATCAACCATGGGAGAATTTCCATTTAAAACAATTTTACAAGATTACTTTCAGAGTACAAGTCTCTTGTTCTAGATTTATATTCTTTAATCATTTGGGAAGAGTCGTCTCCAACACAGAAGAAATCTTTTGCCTTTATAAAGCGACAGCAATCCAACATATGAAATATTTATTTCATTTACTTAAAATATTCCTTCCCCATTTTTCTCCTTAAAAGAGCACTCAAGACAGCTATGTGTAAATATGAAGACTGCAGGGTGTAATCTAAGCTGAGACACAGACATCAGCATCACAGCACATCTGGAAAGCCTGGAAGAATCTGCCAAATAAGAATACAGGACTTGCAGAATGTAGAATCACAATCTCAGCCAAGTGTCTTTGGGTCCTCTTGGGCTGCTTGAGAGGGAGCACTACTTGTTTTGAGCACCATATACTATACTCTCAATCCAATTTTAGTTACACAACATGGTCACCTAATCAAGGCATCTAGGATGGAATATGCATTTCCAACCACATAGGATGTGGTCATCAAGTAGAATGGGGCCTAAATAAGCAGAGATACAAATATGAACCTGCTGAATGACCTTTTCTTCTGGGCAGGATCATTCAAAGTTTGTAGGGGAAGGTTATTATTTTACAACCAGAAAGAAAAATATACCAGAACAGCAGACAGCCCTCATCTAGCGTCAGGAATTGTATATTTATATTATGTCAGTCTCAACTTCTCTGGACTTAAGAAATAAGGAAGGGAAGTTAATAGAAGACTAAAGTGGTTTTGTTTTCCACTTACATTCCCAAGATAGCATCAGCATAGTTTCAAAAACTCAAGTACATTAAAACTGCAGCAGTTTAGAGGACAGGTCGTTTAGGATTCAATAAAATGACAACTGTTTTGGGATTAAAATCACATGGCTTTATTAAAACCACACAGCCTTATTTTCTTTCAATTCAGAGAGCTTATTTTTTTCATATATAGTACGTACCAACAATAGCCTAGTACTAAGAGTATCTGGTTTAAGGCTAGCATATTCCTTATAGCAAGAGTTTCAAAGCAGCAATGCATATTTATTGCAGAACTCGTATTATGGAGTTCACACTACAAAAGGAATCATAATGATTCTGACATCCATTTACAGCTGCATGTGTGGGGTAACTGGAAACAGGAAATCAAATGGTGTGTGTGTGTGGGGGGGGGGAATCCAAATGGTAATCCCTATATATGAAAGAACTATGTAGAAAGAACTGTGGATAACTCTAGCCTGAAAGAAATATGCATTGTAGTCCAAACATGGCTTTTGTAAAGAACGAGTGAACATCTCTTCATTGCCCCAAAGCAACAGTAATCCCCAAACTTACCTTTGCAAGGTGTTTCTGCCAAGACCTTGTTTGTATTCTGAATTCTTCAGGGCCTCAGTCATAGCCGGAATCAGGCAGATCACCAGAGACTGGTCCAGGACTGTCACTGTTTCCAAGATGCTGTAAACCTGATTATCATACACAGTAGTGTAATCTTGAATAAACTGCCTGAAGGAGGAAACAGGGGCATTTATTGCAAGATACATTTTTTTGTTCTCTGAAAACAAGCTTTGCCAAGAAATGCTTGCTTTTATTTGAAAAACAATCCAGGGAGCATCTAAACGGATCAGATCTGGAGGCAGAAAGAAAGTAACAAATACACACAGCTGAGTGTGTGCACACACGTGTGTGCCTGCATGTATATATACACACACATTTCAAAGCATTTCCAGAAATTCAGCAATACACAAAACCATAATTTGCACTAATCACGATTTAGAACAGGATGGAAAAGTTCCTTTGTCATCCAATTCTGAGGCCATGATCAAAAATCCAACTCACATCCTCAGGAGCCATCATGACAAAGGACTAAATCCTGTTCAGAATTATGTAAACATGCCCTTCTAATCCTTAGGAATAGCTTTTCCGAAAGTTATGCTAAGCACTTCTTTTGGTCTTGATGCCAATTGTTATTAAAGCTATGTGTTAAGTTTAAAATGGAATTCCCTCGCCAAAACATTTTTTCTTATTTTAATAGCCATTTTATCAGCTTACCTTTAATTATTTAACAAACCTAAATTAGAGCTCTCTGTATTCCTTAAGTGCATTCTATATGAATAGAAGCAGAAGCATTTTTAACTGTTCACCTGACTGTATGTGCTTTTTTTTTTTTTTTTTACCCTTGAGTCAGCATTGATCCCAAGCAACGAGATGGATAAGTCTAGGCAGTTTTCTTTTTTGGAAGTGCTTTGCCACGGCCTTCTTCCTAGGGCGGACAGAAAGATCACTCTGGCCCAAAATCACTCTGTCAGCTTCCATGCCTAAGGTAGGACCAGAACTCAGTTTTCCCAGCACAAACCACATGAAACCTTTCTAGTTTGGGCTAATCTGAATTCATTTCTGAAATTAGTCAGAGATCTTTGGGAAGGTAAACCCTACACAGAACCTCAGAAGCAAAACCTGCTCTTTGCCGGCATCCCTTTTTTCGAGATTCCTGCCACTGTATTTCTGACTCACTGAGAGCCAATGGAGGTGCCTGTTATTCCAAACCTGCTGTGTATCAGTCTGAAGTAAGAGTTTGTGTTTCCCACCTATAGCCCTGGATAGCTGGGGATCTCTCCTGGAGCAGATGTGGGGATGTACAGCCAAGAACCACAAAGGAAAAATCACTGTACAAACAGAAAACACTGGATAAAGAAGTATATGTAAGAAGTACAGACAGGATTCTTAGAAGAACAAATGCATCTTCTATTCAGCAGTACAAAAGTCAGTAATCCAAGTTAAACTTTATCAGATCTGCACTTTCATTCAGAATGGAAGTGTGGCTTTACAAGCAATTTGCACTTGCTATTAATTTCTTCTCTAACAGTTATAATTGAATACACCTGTTTCTGACAGAACAATACTTCTTAGAAATCTAAATATTTCTCAGAGTACTCAGTGTTTTAGAAGCAGCCTGATTTTTTTTTTTTTTTTAATATGGAATGGTTTCTGAAACAGGTTTAGGGAATTTGTTCATGGCCATCAGTTGTTAACATCATTAGGTTAAGTATATACAGCAATAAAAACTCTGGAAAGTCAGGTGGCATACACATTTTTGCAATAAAAGCATACATACATGCAGCTGAGCAAAACTGTTAAAGATGCAGCATTCCAGTAATCTGGTCCTGGAGTAATGGAGTGTGGTGTCCAAATGTAGGAAACTAATTTACTATGACACAAATGTGGCAAGCCCATGAAGTTTTTAAATTTAGTATCTCAGTAAAAGTTCTCTTGCAGTGGCAAGAAGGTGAATTTAAAGGAATCTGAGACCAACTTTTATCACACAATGAAGGAAAAGCATTAAAATGGCTGAGATCAGGAGTATCCGCAGGGGATGGTCCAAAAAGTCAAGATGCTGGCCACAATGGTGCAATCAATCCATTTTGACTTTTTGGACCATCCCCTGAGGACAACCCTGGCTGAGATGTAGTAATGGCTTTGCCTGAAGATGGCAGTATATGAATGGAAGGATTCTTCAGAAGACCATCCTAGGGTATAGAGAGAAATCAACCACACTATGGGAGTGACATGCAAGACGTATGGAATTTAAAACATTTAAGCCCCAAACATCCCATCCATCCATCCATCCATCCATCCATCCATCCATCCATCCATCCATTTTAGGTCTCATCTTTATTTTGTATAACTCAAACATTATACTCTCTCCTCCCATTCTCCCACATAGGGGACAGTGTGAAAGTTGGGTAGAGAAAGGGGTAAGTGGCCCAAAGTCACCAGATGGCTTCTGTGTCTAGAACCTATGGTCTCTTAGTTTCCAATCCACACCTTAACCACTATGTCAAACTAGCTTTCAATTTTAATTTCAAATTTTAAATTTGAAACAGGTGATCCAACTTTGTTGAAAGCATTCCAACACTGTTCCAACCATATCAAAAGTCTTCTGATCTTGAAAGTTTTAAGCTTGGAACACTTCCAAAATGGACAGACAATATTGAAACATGTCTGGTGAGGTCTGAACAACCCCTTCTGAGCTTGAAATGTTTCAGAACCAAAGTATTTTAGACCCCTCTACTTTATGACTGTTTCACTTTTGTTTAAGTAAAGTCCAAAATACCTGGAAAGGACCAAATTGGATAAGGATAGCATTCAATACTAGCAAACAGTAACATTCATTCCTATGCTACATAAAATTTGATCTCATGAATTTCATCCTCCTCCATTACCCTTGGGGTTTGGAAAAGCTGTGAAGACCTCAAGCTATTAACTGTGAAGCAAAATAGGTCTTAAGTTCCTTCAACCATGGCTGATAGAAATTCTATTCACCACTTACGAATCTCCCACCCTGAGAAGTCTTTAAACACTTACTATAATAAATCTGCAGATGACCAAGAACTATTTGTCAGTGACAGGGTAGGGACGGAGGAACACAGCAGGATTTCACAGGGCAGTATATAATTCTGCTTAAAGATGAAGCCTCAACATACACTAAAACTCCTTTGTGTTCATGGCTGCAACTGTGATATGCACCCCCATAGTATTAAACATCTACAGGGGGTGGGATGTTCGTGTACTACCTGATTTGTTGGCCAATCCACACAATAAACCATCTTGCCAATAATGGAAGTATATAAACAATCCACATCAAATTATGTTAGGGATAATTAGTTGCTTAAAAGAACATGCTTTCTGTCAAATGCTTGCAATCATTTCAGTGCCAGTTGGCTGGTATTCTACTTACCTAAACACAGAAATCAGCTGGGTGGCAAGCTCGCCTCCTGACCTTGCTTGGCAGCCTTCTACTAAGTACTGCAGTATCTCCGTACAGAGTTTTTTAACTGCAAGAGACAAATTGCATTGAGCCTTTGAATAGCTACATCAAAAAGAGCTCTAGGAAGTTTATGAAATGGTTAGGATTGGAGAAGTGACTGTTTTTGGTGTTATGATTCTAAGTAACTCAAATCTAATCAATGTAAATGGTTTAAAGGGAAGGTGCCTGATAAAGTAATGGAATAAATGACCACTAAACAGTTGAAGACCAAGTTTATAATCCTTTAAGCCCTCCTTCTAGATATATTTCTCTTAATTTTTGCTCTACAGAATCCTGAAGTGGCACATGCTCAAAGTGTGAGTTTAGAAAGTTCTGTTCAAGCCTCATTTCTCTCACATGTGCACATTAACCTTAGATCAGCCATTATCTCTCACCTCTGTTCTACCCAGTAATCTGAACAATTGAAATGATAAACTGGAACATTTTGAACTTTAAAATTACTCTCTAATTACTCAGAGTTGCTAGCACTAATAAAAAATAAATATTCCAGAAACCTGACTAACTAATCATTAAATCATTGCAACCATAGAAAGAGACCAAGCAATTTTCTTTCTAGAGAGGATCTTGGTTAGTCAGCAATTTAATCCAGGGTCTAAAGTGCCAATGCCAGGATTTCACCCCAATTTTATGGCCTTCTCTATTCTGTTAAGGTTGTTCTTGAACAGAATTTCATTCAATGAGATCATTTTCTTTTCTGCATAGGAAGTAATTCCAGGCAAAACAGCAAGCACAACATGAACTGAAAGTTTGGAGGGGGAGGCTCTGCATGTCATCCACTTCAATTTACTTGCCTTAGCTCAAGAGATTTCATAGATGTGAAACTTGTTATGGGAAAAAAAGCAGCACTACAGGTAGTCCTTGTTTAATGACCATAATTGGGATCAGAATTTCCATCGCTAAGTGAAGCGGTTGCTAGGCAAAACGTCATGTGACCATGCCGCTTAGTGATGGAAGTTCCAGCAGTCCTGGTTGTGGTCATTAGGCAAGAACTGTGCCTCTGTTAGGCGAGGACCTCATGCTTCTCCTGCCTTGCCTGAACTGCCTGCTCCATCCTGCTGCCTCCTCCCCAGCCAGACCCAGTGGCCTCTCTTAGGATCCCAGGCCAGCAGCAGGAGGAAAAAGACAGTGAAGGTCAGCTAGAGGTGGCAGTGGGAGGCGGCAGTGGTGGAGTGCAGGGTGGCAAAGATGGGGGGGGGAGATAGGTGGATGGGGTAATTGAAGCACACACTGCAGTTGTAAATGCAGGCCAGTTGCCAAGTGCCTGAATTTTGATCACAAGAGTGCAGGGGCACTGGAACAGCCATAACTTTGAGGACCAGTCATAACTACCATTCATTCAATGCCATCATAACTTTGAATGGTCACTAAGCGAGGACTACCTTTACCTCCTTGAGCACCAGCTAGTTGTCACTATTCAACAGAACAACCCAATAGGTCTTTGTCCTATTTTTCCCTGAATCTCTTACATAGCTAGAAGGCTTTTTGCTGTATGTCAATACAGAATCTGTTCCATCTCAAGTTAATTGTGTATAGGGTTATAAATTAAACATTTGGAGTTCAAGAAATGAATGCCAGAATCTTTATCAATTTAGGTCTGATTACATTGAAGATCAAATGATGCTAGTGGCTTATTCAAGACATAATCTACTATAGATGTAAGATCCTTGGCTTGTATGCAAGCTCCCAAGTGTATTGCCAGATTGGAGAATCTTGTTTATATTCACAACCATCAGTATATCTTTGCACAGTGAAGTCTGTGATCTATTTCTTATACTTTCTGATATTCTAATGCACCATATACAGACAACAATGGAAGCTTGTAAACTTACCTTGTGGTTCATTAACCAATATAAGGCACTTTAACACAGAAGGCAGCAATGTCTCAACATCACATATTTCAATGCTCTTGGTCCTTTGCAATGCTTCAAGAGTGAAAGCTAAAACTGATCCTAGGCGAGGAGGAGGGGCATTACCTCTGAACTGTAGATAATTTTCACTGGAAGAAAATAAAAAGGAGTCAGTCTCTCTAATATTCTTTAGGATAAGTAATGACAAATATATATTTGTATATTTTTCAGCTATAATACAGGTATGTGTCCCATTTTAGTTCCCACCCAAATAATTTTACATAAACACAATGTGTTCTGATGGGATTAAATCCATCCAGATGTTTTTCTGTTGAAATGTTCTGACCATTTTTTCAATGTCTAACTGAAGGATTGCATTAAGTGATGCTTGTATTGCTTTCAAAGTAACGGTACCAAAGCTCTTTCTCCACCTCTTCAGCTATTAAAAACTTAAATGCCAACAGTTAATTTTCTTCTTTTCTGGCCGCTACCTGATGACTTGCACAGAAGTCTTATGTAGATGAATGGCTTCTGGAGTGGTGGCAGAACTGTGCAATGCCAGCAGGATGGGATGCTGTCCAGTTCGAGAAGTGTCAGATGACAAAAGAAGAAAACGCCCCAAATACTGGTGAATAACGTTCCGTAGTAATTGGTTCAGATAGGCACTTTGAGTTTGAGACTGGCAATGGCAACATATAAAGGACAAGCCCTACAGAAGGAGGGGGAAAAAAAGTCTAGTGAAAAACAAATAAAGAATTTGCCACAGTCAAATTCTGAATGCAAATCATCATCATCACCATCATCCTCATGTCATCAAATTAGTCTTCTGAAACTAAAATCTGCTGTATATGCCATGGTGAATTCTTTATAGCATCACTACCCCACTTAGAGTCATTAATTTCCAAACACTTCAAGTGGTGTTTATTTCTTAAAATGTATGAGAGGAGTAGGATTTTTTATTTTTAAAAAAAAAGTTAGTCAACATAAAGAACATATTTACTGTCTCTATGTTTGCTATCAGAGGTTGGCAGTTTCCATTTGCCTTGCCCCACATCTAGGACTAAGAGAGTCTTTCTCCACCTCACCTCCCCTGGTGCCCCATTGCCTAGAGACAGCCAGGAGGGTTGCCATGAGGATAACAATGACCTGTTGACTTAGGTCATATGACCCAGGTGAAGCTCTCTCTTGTGCCTGAGGGTGAGATGTTCAACGTCTCTTCTGATTACAGTGGTACCTCGAGTTACGAACGCCCCTCCTTACGAATTTTTCAAGATCCAACCAGCTCCGGCCCCAAAAATTTACCTCGACATGCGAACTCTACCTCGAGCTACGAACCAGATCCGCGGCCATTTGCCCTGCTGCCACGCGGTCGCGGCTTCCTGTGGGCGAGATCGCGGTAGCAAGGAGACGTTCGGTGAAGCTTGTGGTGTGTTTTGTGGCATTTG